TCTTAGCAAAACATTATCTTCTAGATAATGGTCCAACTCTAATCTTACATTCTTCATTTTTTTCACTTCTCTTTTTACTAGTAAACAAATCATACTCTGAAAGGATCTCTGTAACAATTTCTTGATGGATAGAAGAATCACCAACAACATCAGTCTCCATACCAACTCAGTGCTGATACTCTTGCAACAAATCATAACAAATTTGACGAACCCTATCAATTTCCTCTTCAGCTTTGTCTCTATCAAGTTTTTCAAAATAAAACTTCAATACACTCATCTTGTACCTAGGATCAAGCACAACAGCAACTCCAATAACACCATGTATTCCTAACTAATATTTATCAAAAATTTTCACCATTTTTGATGTCATTGTTCTAATCACTTCAATTTCACAAGAGAGCCATTGAGACAATGTCATCCTAATCTCACATAAAGTTGGGAAACAAACATTGGCTGTGGGATACTTTGTTCCAAAAATTGACTCCATGATAGAAAAAAAATATCTTAAAACTCGCACTGATCTCTCTAACAAACTCTCATTCTTCCTCACTTGGCATGATCTTATATTAGGGCTCTCTATTTTTCAACCGAGAAAAGACATCCTTATACAATAAGGCAGTTTAAAGCATCAAGTATATTGAATTTTACCTAGTTGCACAATCAAGTCCTAATTTTTTAGTATATGGATTACGCAATTGATTGACTTTTTCTTCAAATTTTTCTTATCTTTTAGGTGTTGTTGTCCAATAAACTACACTCTCCCGAATTTTCTCTACACCCACTCGTATGGCATCTAGTCCATCTTTGACAATCAAATTCAAAATATGTGCGCAACAACGCATATGAAACAAAGTACCACCCAACAAAAGCAATGTATTACTCAACTTATCCATCAACATGGTAATCATGGCATCATTTGTGGAGCAATTATCAACAATAACAGTAGAGATTTTTCTGTCAATATTCCAGTCCATCATACACTCAAGCAAAGTATCACAAAGAACTTCTTTTGTGTGTGGACATGGAAAATAAATAAACCTAAAATACAATATTCATGAACAATTATTAATAACATACAAATTGAACTGAATAAGATAGAATTTCTAAATGATTTGCAAATTTACAAATATATATCTCAAAATGCGACTTTGTAATGTCCATGAATCATCAATAAAGTGTGATGTGACAGTCATAAATCCTTTCTTTTGATTACTAGCAGTTCATATATCAGTTGTGATTGCCCCCCTACTTTTATTACTCTCCACCAAACCCAATGTCTTCACCCTCTCATAATCATAAATCTTTATAATATCACTCTTTATCGTATTTCGCGAAGATACTTTAAACAATGGTTGGAGTGCTGCTGAATATCGTTTAAAACCAACATGTTCTACGATAGAGAGGGGATATTCATGCAATATTATGGCATGTGACAACTCTTTCCTAGCAAAATCTTGATAAAAAATATAAGAATTCATTTTTAGACTCTCTCTATTAAAGTTGTTAGTTAAAACTTTTTGCCTCACGTATATCACTTTTTTCCTAGTACAACTCTTAAAGTGATCACCTCCAAGATGCTTATCACAATAATTACATATTGCCTTCCATACCCCATTGACTTATTGTTTCTTAAAGTGTTCCCACACAACACTAGTTTTCCTTTTAGTTCCTCCACAAGTATTAGACTCTTCTTCTAAGTCAATAATATTTTGATTAGAGAGGGAAGACGGTGAGTTGGTAGCTGGCGATGATTGTTGTGAGGCCTCGCTCTCAAATGGTACTTGAGAGTTAACTTCTGACATTTTTAACCTTTATAAAAATAATATGAAATGAATAAACAAAGGCAACCCATTATAATGTAAACACTAATCACATCCAAATATCCTAATGGAATACCTTAGAAAGTAGAGCAACAACAATTAGAAAATCAAAATTATAATGAGTATTGTATTTTATCTCTCTCTCTCCCTCTCTTTGCGTGTGTCTACACGCACACACATGTTTTCCATCTAAATTACCCACTGTTATGATGAGTATTGTATTCAATCAAAAGGCAAACTAAAATTCACATAGCAGATGCAAACTAAAATTCACACAAGCATACATGAATTAAAGCAGTAAAAAAAAAAACAATTATCAGATAGTCTCCTGTTAAGTATAGTTCTTGATTTTTGTTTCTATTTCTATTTTTTGTTTTCTTTCTCTGCTTCTTTTTTAAGATGAGTTTTTCATTTTGTCATGATTATTGTTACTTTAATTTAAGTTGCTTTATTTTCCACACAACATGAAAATTATGGAAATCTAGATAGTTAGAATTTCAAGTTCTCATGGTTTGTTAAATTTTGTTGTTTTAAACTTAAGATTCTTTCATTTCATCACTTGTGTCAAATTACCCCCTCAAACTATCACATTCAGCCTCAGGTCATAATTAAAAAAAAAAACAGATATATAAAATAAATAACTAGATATATATTATCAATGACATATATATTTTCAAAATAAATAGATCAATAATTAAAAAACAGATCATACATTACATATCAATGACATATATATATTTAAAATAAATAAATTTAGAGGAAAAAAAAAACAGAGGTCGAAACAGCAATGAAATCCCTAGAGAGACTATATATACACAGATATATATATATATATATATATATATGTATGTAAACCCCTAGATTGAAATCCCGAGAGAGAGAGAGAGAGAGAGAGAGAGAGAAAGAGAGACACCCTTTGAAAATTGACATAGAGGGAGGATCGACAGCCGTCGTTGTGTGTGTGAGAGAGAGAGAAAGAGGGAGGCGAAACCCTAAACACAACGACGGTAAGAGAGAGAGCAGGAGCAGCAGCCATTGTGTTTGTGTGAGAGTGAGAGTGTGTCAACCAAACCCTAAACACACACATACACACACACACATTATATATATGTATATATAAACAGGGGCATAATAGTAATCTTACATCAGGGGGCTTAACGGGGCGAGGCCAGGGCCGGGGCTGGAACATGTATCCCCATTCCCAGCCCGAATATCATTAGGGATTTATTTTTGAATACAATCCCTGGCTCGTTGGGAGTATTTTTCGAGGAATAACCGCTCAATTCGGGGTCGGGGGATCAGGTCCCTATCGAGTCAGGTTCAGATTGCCATCCCTATGTTCAAGCCCTTGTATCTCCCTCGTCGTAACTCTGTTTTGCCTCATTTTCACGCCATTGGATTCATCTCATAGCCTAGTTTTCATTCCATCTCTCATAAGCCTCATTCCACCTCTTTTTGCATGTCATTGGAGCTCTGAAAGTTGGCCACAAATAAAATTTTTCTCTCTCTTCTTTTTTTCCCCCCCTTGCTGCTATCAAAGCAATATTCTTGGCAATAGAGGTGCAATGGATAATGCTTGATTGGAAACCAAGGCGCCTTGACATGCTCATCGACCCATTGATTTTTTATTTTTATGGATAGTTGTATACCTATCACCACTCGACGGTACCACCACCACATCCTCATCTTACAAATAATGATAATGAAGCAACTAGGCTATGAGATGAGTCAAAAGAGTTGGAACAAGGTGTATGAGGGGCGAAATGAAAACTAGGCTATGAGATAAATCTAACGACGTGAAAATGAAGCGCAACGGAGTTTTGACGAGGGTGATACAAGGGTTTGAACATGTGAATTTGAATCTGAAAGAAGGTAGAAGATGAAGTGAGACGAAGATAGACAGAGAATTCACATTAAAGCACGGATGAAACTCTAGCGTTTAATTTGTTGAAATTGGAACTCTAGGGATTAAATTGAAAAGCACTCGAAACCTAGAGTTTTTTTTTTTTTTTTGTAATTAACCCTTAAAAAAATTATTAATGTCGAAATTGATGTAAACAGTAATATGTTACTTTATCTCACAGTAACATGTTACTCTAGTTCACAGTAACATGTTACTCTGGCAATATTGTCCTTACTCAATTATGCGCCTCCTCCTTAGGGGGTTTATGAAGTAAAATAAATTGAGTTGTCATTTTCACCAAATAAGGGTCCAATGGATGGATTTCGACTAAATTTCCCTTTTACATACAATACCAATAACCAAGTCAAAGTTATAGTTTTATAGAGAGTAACAATGAATAATATGACTGAATGATAGAGAGCAAATGAAGTTTTTTGGTATAATATTTGATTTAGATGAGTGCAATTATAAGAAGGGAAGAAAATGTTGCTCTTGATCATCTATGATAGCAATTTTTCATCTTCTCCATCCTCCTCCATTAAAGCATTCTATTTTTTACATTCATGAGACCTTTGGTCTCTCTAGATTTTTAATCAAAGTTGAAAATGGAAAATGAAAGGCCATTGATTAAAGAAGAAAAAGGAATACCTAAGCCATAGAGTTTTCTTTTCTTTTCTTTTTTGTTGGTACTTAAGGCACATAACAAGTAATCAATCTTACACGTGACGCATTCTTATGCATTCTAGATAAAATACACACCTTTACTTATATATGATATATATATATATATATATGGCTGTTATGATAAATTTTAAAATAAAAAAAATAAAAAAAAATCTACCCTTTCCATATCAAATTTTTGTTTCTTGTACCAGAATTATTCACATTTCAATTAGCATAGTTTAGCCATTTAGATTCATAAGTTTTAAGCTGCTGCTGAAATTTGTAGATTAATTATTCAAAATTTTCCAAGTAGTGATTTTTTTTATTTTTTATTTTTTAGTAATAAAAAAACAGAAAAAAGAGAATATATAAAACCTATAATCACTGCTCTATAGATGTTATTCAACTATTGCATTTTACATTTACCACTTTATTTTGGATACTCAATACAATAACCATATTTGAATCCTGAAAAATCTCAAAAATAGATTTTTGCAGCAGTAAAATTCAAATCCACAAGACACAAGCACGCCATCCGTCAGACTAATCCCTTTAATCTTCCAAAAGAGATTATTAAGACGCAAGAAATATAATCCATATTTAAACAAAATATATAATCAAATTCCTACTCCCCAAAAATACATGATAACTGACATTTATTTTAATGTTCCACATGCACTACAAGCTCAAAAATAATGAATCACAATATTGCTGTAAAAGAATCAGTAGTGTAGTTTCCACACTACCCCAAAAGATAAAAGGAGTGAAAACAAAACAAAACAAAACAAAACAAAATTAGAGTTCGAAATCCGTACAATTTGAAGACCTATATTAGGAAAAAGAAAACATCAAAATTACAAAAGAGAACCTTAATTGCTAACTGGTTACAGCTCAAGAAGAATTTAATCTAAACAGGGGGTGGCTTTAACCACAGCCGAAGAAACAATTCGTAACTTTCTTCCCTACCATTTCTGGTTCTTTGCTCACTGCGGCGCCTGCTAATTTTCCCCCCCTTATAAGTTGTGACGTTCGCCATTAAATCTAATGTACCTCGAATCAAAACCAGCAACAATTTATGGCATGAATTAGGTGGTGATTTTCAACCAACCCATGTTTTTTGTTGGTCCCACTTTCTGACATCAAGCGTCGTTCAACGGTTCTGCTTCAGCATCCTTGTCCTTCAATGCAGTCCAATCTTCAGTCTCTGGAATGAACCCAAAACAAAAAATTAAGAATTTGTTTAACTGTTAGCACCAAGAAACTTTCAGCTCATTGGTGTCAGATCTGTTTGGTTCCACTTGCATCTTATTTAGCTTAAAATTTGACACCACGTGTTTAAGCAGTTGCACTTTGAAATTAGAGTGTTCGGTTCCACTTCTCAGGTTTTTTGCTTGTTTGCTTTTCAGTTTAAAATACGAAAAGCTAAAATACTGGACAATTACAAGTTGTCTTGGTTCTGCTACAACAACATATCACAAAAACCTGACAACAAATATATACTTACTTGTCTTATCTGAGATAGCCAAGAGGCGCCTCTGCAAGATAGATGCCACAAAGAGGAAAATCGAGCACATGCCGAACATAACAGTGATCGGGAATGCATTAACCTTCAAATACACAAGAAAATCAACTTTTGAGTGACAGAAAAGGAACGTGCCATCCTCCTCAACGTTATCAAACGAGGCAAAAAAGAAGAAAGCACATAGAAAGAGAGACGAGGAGAGGAAGGTTAATGTGGCCAAACATCACACAGAAGTCTTCTATAGTGTAAATGCACAACATGAGCAGGTAATGGTTACTCAAGGTACATTGTGGCTTAGATAGCAAGAACAGTTATCAAGGTTAAGACAGCAAGAACGTAAGTAAGGTTAGGATAGCCAAACCAGCAGGTTAAGATTTCTATGCGATGGTGGAGAGGAAATTTCTGCTTAGACCCTACCTAACATACTGGGGGGAAAAATCACATGTTATATTTCTTTTTCCCCAAAAAATTAAAATCCCATCTTAAATTAAAATCCTCTTAATTTTACTCATTCCGATGTTTTCAAATTAATCTCTTAACTCTTCATAATTAGGATAAAAGCCCATTGTATATTTCTTTTTCATTAATGTCGACTTATTTTAATTTTTTTATAAATACTTATTTAAATAACTATTGTTATTACCAAGTTTTGGCCTCTCTAAAACTAATGCATGGTGAAGCAACAATACTTACTGTACAATCGATCAAAGCACCAATTGCAACATGAAATTAATTTTGCTTTGTCGATAATCTTAGCATATTAAAGTAATTCTTAATTTCTTAAAGTGAATATTACATGATTTTGAAATAAATTAAACAAATACAAAATCAAAATAATTTGAATTAATGAAGTTTTGATATATTTCGTCAATATCTAATTGAATTGTTTTTATGCTTCTTTACTATTGGAATTTACAATATCTTGAACTACTTGGACACTAAATATTTAAGACAATAATTACGCATATGCTATATATTTTTGTATTTTTATTTTACCTCCGCTACTAAAAAATCCTAGTCATAAAAATAAATAAGCTTACATTTATGCCTATTTTTAAGTAATTCTGAAAATTGTTTAATTCAGTAACACCTCCCCTCTCTCTTCTTGAAAACAATTATAACTTAAAAAGGACTTTATTCATAAACAAGCATGGTAGTAATACCAATCTAGTATCACTACATACATATATATATATATATATGGTTAATGTGAACTATAATGGGCACTAAACCTCTTTCACATAAAATGGTTTTACTTTGTTGATAAAATATGTGGCATTTATGTAATAATAAGATACTCTACTTTAAGGTGAAGATATGAAACAAAGCAAGTCAAGTTACATACATTGTATAGCACAACGCACACAAATATGTTGAGAGGAATGCGGAAGAAGTTCATGATGGTGCTTCTGGCCTCCTCTGGAATGTATTGGGCCCTCATCTTCATGATGGACGGCCAGAATATCCCCACACAAGCTTCAAAGGTACAGAAGCCAAGAAGTTGGATACAACCTGAAAAAGAGATGCCTCCACCCTTTGCGGTAGAAGGAGCGACCATGAACTGTTTCATAAAAGTGAAATCAGAGATAGCCAGAACAAAAGACTTCAAGATAAAAAATGAATAAAATGAGACCAAAAACGTACGGTTGTCAAAATGGGAAGCAGTAGAGAGCCGGCAGAAACTACAAATACAATCTGCATGTAGCTCTCAACTTTAGGAGACGAGCGGGCCATCAAGCGAGATGCAAATGAGCTTCCCAACATAGATGCCAACATGAAAGTAGCAAAAATGAAACCATGTGGAATATCCTCCTCATTCGGACTCAAAGCAGGAGTCCAAAGGAACACAAAGGTATACATTGAACCTTCAAAGAGGGACTGTATCGCGCCCAGTAATGCAATCTTCTCATCTAAACCAGATAAGTTATTATATTAGGGGCTTAAGGAGTGAGGAAATTAAAATAAATAGATAAATAAAAGAAAGAAAATAACAGAAGCAGAAAAGAAGAAACTCATGTTAACATATGGAAGAACCATGGAGAATGCATTAAGGTACCAAAGAATCTAAGTTTAGCCAAACACTATTTGGAAAATGCTGCCTGGCAGATAAAGAAATTGCACGGTGTAAAATAATACATAAGAAAGGGATTGTTCTTATCCTTTTCTTTTTCTTTTTCCTTTTTTGAGAACCGTAAAGTTTCATCACTTAGAATTTTTGAAAGGGAAGTCCAGAATCAGTGCATCCATCTCTTCATGCAGTCCCAGGATCTATTAGATATTACATATCATATACTAGGATCCCATTATGAAGAATAACAATAATATATACAGCTTAAAGCAAGTGAAAGCATCTACCTGAAGCAATGGCCACAGCTGCACCCTTGAATTGGGTAAGCAAGTCCTTGTTCTCTGAAGAATCTCCATAGTTCTCAGTCCATGACGATAAAATAATGGCCATCCCAATTGCGAGAAAGCATGCAGCAGCATCAAAAGGTGCTACAGGCCCAAGATTCAAGCTATCAACTAGCAGGTTTCCGAACAACCCAGCAACAATAGCAACTAGACCATTGCCAAGAAATATTGCCTTTGAGAATGTTAGTGACAACCATTGTTGATCAAACCCTCTCTGAATAATAAGAAGAAAATGATATTGATTTTTATCAGAATCAGATGGTAAATTTCATAGACAAAACCCACACTAACTGCTTATTAGCCTGTATTTTAAATTAGTCAAGGACAAACCAAAAAATGTAGAGATCAAGCAACTACATGGTTCACACACATAATTGCAGATTCAGAAAGTATGAAAATAGAATCAAGAATGTTAAATGGAGAACATGATACAAAGGAGAAGTTTGGGCAACATCAGAGAAATCAACGCACAAACCATATAGAAAATATTATCAGAATTGGATGAGAGAACCCATTTTCCTGATCAACTTTGTTGGCATGTAATATTTACAAAATAATTTTAATACAAATACAAGTATCAACGTATCTCTCCCCCTAAAGTCAATTAGGCTCACATTTAAATTTGTTTACTTAGTAGTTGAATAATTTTTATTTTTGATGTAGTTTTCTTCAAACATTTTATTGTCACACATCATCTGCCTTCAAGATGTATGCAAAATTCCATCATAAAGAGTTCACAGCAATGATGCTCGCATCACCAGTCACATGTAATGAAATTACGATGCATGCGAAAGTTATAAATCCCTACTATATTTAAGAACACGGGCAGAGTGGTAACCACTTACCTTAAAGTGTTCTGCCACAAGCCAGGACTCAAATGCGGAACAGAGAAGAGAAGTCGCAATACCACCCAAAACGCGACCCAACATCAGAACTTTGTATAGGGGAGAATGCTTGGTAGCGCAGCTCAGTATGTAGGTAATGCAGTAAGTCACAGACGCTCTCTTCCGACCCCTGGATTCAGTTTATCAAGGTGTCAAAAATCAAGAAAGTGCACTAAAGAATGACAAATGTACGAAGGTCAAGGGGAAATCTCAACTGTTTGTCAGCTAAAGATCCAACAATTGTCCCAAACAACATGGAAGATCCAAAACCTGCAATGAAGAGTTGTCCAATCTCTCCTTTCCCATACCCGTACTGGCTGTATAAATAGTACACATATGGTCCCTGCAACCAATCCCCAGCTGTTGCCGCACAAACACTAACAAATCAGAAAATGTGAAAGGATAAAAGAAATTTTTTAAATCTGGAAGGATAACCAATCCCCAGCTGTTGCTTGCACAGATGAAGCAGCAGGATAAAAGAAAGAGTTTTAAATCTGAGATTCATTTGGTTTCCACAAATTTTTCAAAAACATTACAAAAAATAAAATTAAACAAAAAAAAAATGATAAAAAGCATCATAATTATCAGAGAATTGCTGGATAATGTATAAATAGCAGCAGGCAGATCAAATACACCAAATAGCATATTCCTCGTATAAGTGACTACATTGGTAACCATTAAAAAAATATTAACAATTTGTTTGATGAGAGAGAAAGGTGATATTATGTGTTTCTCAGAAAGCAAACAGAGAGTATAAGAAATCCGGCGGTCTGATAGATCCAATGTAAAACACTGATGATATATCGATCCGATGCTTCAAACACATGAAAGAGCCCCCAAAAAGGCCCAAGTAACAATAAGAGAAAAAAGAAAGCATCGCCATTCAGATCCGAAAAAAGAACATGCTTTCATTTCAATAAAATTAGGCATATTCAGATTGGATGATGCAAAGCAAATGTAAGATTGAAAGGTGTGAGATCCCTTCCTTACCCATCATGAGAGAGTAGACAAGAAGGTAATTGTTCTTGAAGGAATTGAATGGCTGAGATGTGTTGATCCGATCTTTGTTGTTCTTGCTTAGCTCCAGAGCTGCCACTATGGCAGCAAGACACCCAAACACCAGGTAAAAGAACAATTCCATTGTTATTCTTGCAAACTTGCAGATAGGTCGATTCTAGAGAGAGAGAGAGAGAGAGAGAGAGAGAGTAACTGTTCTGTTGCAGTGAGATTCTTACGAACGAACACTGTCATCGATCATCCATTTATACTGCAACAAGGACGCGGTTTCAGCCTTCTGTTCCAGCCCATTGGACACGTGGCGATACGTGGTTTATCTAATAAAAATGTTAAGGACTTCGAAAATTTTATCAAAAAATTATCAACCCCTACGGAGATTTGACTAAAATACAAATTTCTTCTGAGATTTGAGAAAGAAAAATGATTTTTTTTCCGAATTTTGTCCTCCCTAATCCCTCGAATACCTAAAACGACGTCGTTTTGGACATTCTTTTTTTTTTTTTTTCTTCTTCTTTTTCTTCATGCAGGTGTAGGTCTGAGACAGAGGGAGAGGGAGAGGGAGAAGAAGAGGAAGAGGGAAAGGAAGAGAGAGAGAGAAGAGAGGCCGATCGTCGTAGCACTCCAGTCCAGCCCGATCGGCGGCCGATCGTCGCAGCTCGCAGATCGTCGCAACTTGCAGCTCGTCACCCGATCGTCTCTGCCCCGCCTCCGCCCCTGCCCAGCCCAGTTGATGTTGGCCCCTCCAGTCCAGTCTTTTTTCTTCTTCTTCTTCCTTCTCTTCTTCTTCTTCCTTTTTCAAATTCGGAGGATTCGAAGAGGGGGCTTTCGAGCTCCCTAGCACGACTCTTTGAAAAATTATATCCCGTCTCTTGAGTTTTATATTTACATAACAAATTGTCCTCTGAGATTTATATTTCCATAACAAATAATCTCCTCATTTGTTATGCAAATATAAACCGCAAGGGATAATTTGTAATTTCTCGAATTTTTTTAAAAAAAAATCATATTTTAGAAAAATCTCAAGAGAAGTGTTAATAATTTATCTAAACTTTTATTGAATGTCTCGTATAAGTGTGAGACGCACAACGTGTAATTTCACACCAATATAAAACATGTAATAAAATTTATAGTGAAATTTGTGGGAATATGTAAGACTATTCTTATCTGATTGGTGTCGTCGGTAGTGGTTTTATGCCTGCTTGCCTCCACTCAAAGTTCCAAATGGGATACTGGATCCTATATGGAGGACGAAGGCATCTGGACCTACATACCCTTGTCTTTGCACTGTCCGATCATTCTCAGCTGAAAGCCCTCAACGGTTGGGATTTTATCTTAGTAATCTATATAACAGTTGTTTATACTTATTGTATTGTATATCATTTATTTTTTAATAATTTATTATTGAATTGCATACATTATCAAGAACGCATACTTGGGTTCAATTGTGTAACTTTGCCTTAAGTTTGGAATCTCATTGTCAATTAAAATTCAGAGGTGTTTAGAATTATTTACATAAGTATATTTTTAAATTTTTTAATAAAAAATATAAAAAAAAAAAAAAGTAGAGAATTGATATGATATAAAAAAGATAAAAAGATTTTTTTTTTTTTTAAAAAGTACACTTTCATAAGAGATGTCAAGTAGTGTCTCAATGTCAAATTATGATTTTATTTAGATTTTTGAGTCATGTATATGTTACAAATTCCTTTTTCTTTCCTTTTTTATCTCAATTATTTAAATCCTTATTAGAATATGTGGACAACATAATCATAATATATTACATTTGTTGTCCCATTATTTTCTCTAAGAGTTGATTATTTTAAAAATATGATTCAGTAAGAGAGAACAAGTACATTCATTTTTTGTCAAAGTGTAACAGAAAAGATGGAAAAACTACAGGAGAAAAACTTGTCAAGATCATGGAGCTAGACTATGCGCATGGTGGTGAGTGGTGGTACCACAACGACTAACATCTATTTTAGTAGTTAAAATGTTTATTGCCATTTAAAAACACCAAACATTAGTTAGTTAATACCAAACATTAGTTAGTTAATAATCCATCTGACTTATTATTTTTAATATTTTATTTTAGGTATTGAGACTAGTAATAGTTGACAGATATTGGATGACTTTAAAATCTTTTTAATTTGGCTTTTTTTGAGACAATAATTTTTAAGAAAAATTACTCAAAAATCCCATATTGAAAATGTTACTCTATCTAGTCCTGAATGTTTTTTTGTAAACCATTTAGTCTTTTTTTTACATCATCATCATCAAAACAACATCAAAATCAAACATCATCATCAAAACAACATCAAACATTACAACATCATCATCAAAACAACATCAAACATCACAACATCATCATCAAACAACATCAAACATCATCATCAAAACAACATGCAGCCTCTCCATTCTTCTTCGTCTTCAATCCCGCCCGTGCCATTGGAGTTCCTGCTCACCACCCGACCCCTTCTCCCCCTCCTCCCTCCTCGTTTTCCTCTCTCAACCCGCCAACGTAGGTGGGTTGCCTCGTAATTCCGTCAATGTTCCTGAATCTGTCTCTCTCTCTTTCTCTTTCAACTCCGACGTGTTTTGGAAACCCTAGCAATGGCGGACCAATCGGCCGTCGTCGATCTCATCCCTCCAAACCCTAACCTACCCAAAGCAATGATGAGAACACAGGCGAGAACAGAGATAGACCTATCACGAATCGCCTGAGACGAACTCATCATACTCGACTGTCTCGAACCCATTCTGTACCAACTACCCGTATGAAGAAATGGCTTCTTCAGATCTCTCCTATCGTCACTCTCTTCTCTGAAACTCATATTGTCTTCTCTCTCTTCTCCGATCCCTATCTTAATGTTGCACAATATTGATGTTGTGATGTTTGATGTTGTTTTGATGATGATGGTGTAGTTGATGTTGTTTTGATGGTGATGATGTTGTTTTCGTAAATCAGTTCGCCCATGTTTGATGTTGCACAATATTGATGTTGTGATGTTTGATGGCGATGATGTTTGATGTTGCACAATATTGATGATTAATGTTGCACAATATTAATGTTGTGATGTTTGATGTTGTTTTGATGATGATGGTGTAGTTGATGTTGTTTTGATGATGATGATGTTGTTTTCATAAATCAGTCCGCCCACGTTTGATGTTGCACAATATTGATGTTGTGATGTTTGATGTTGTTGTGATGATGATGGTGTAGTTGATGTTTTATGATGTTTACAATGTTTTGGTGATGTTGATGATGTTTGATGATGTTTACAATGTTTTGATAATGTTGATGATGTTGATGACGTTGCGGATGTTTGATCATGTTGATGATGTTGACAATGTAATTAATGTTGCTGATGTTCGGAAAGGAGAAAAATCTAAAAAAGGCCTATAGTGAGATTTTAATATTCAAATAGGACTTATTAGTCTACAAAATAAAATGCAGGACCAAATAGTTTAACAAATTAAAATTTGGAATTTATTGGTGTTTTACCCTAATTTCTATTCTAAAGTTGTCTATAGTTAATGTAATTGATGATTTTCACTTTAATTTGACAAACCAAATGAGTGGTAGGATTTTTTTTATTTTTATTTTTTTTTATAAAATTAAATTTCACCATTTAAGCAATTTTATATGGAAGTGCTTTGGTCGTTTAAAAAATATAGGGGAGTGCCTTTAGGCACGGGTATGTATATATATATATATATAAGTGTTTTTGACTCAAACCACATAAGTACACAATTATGAATAATAATTCTAATAAATATTAAAACGATTTTTGGAATTAAAGACAATAAGTATAAGATTTAATTTTGTAATAATGTTGCATATAATGAATGAATTAGATATAATATTATTTTTATTAAAATATCCCAACAATCCCCCACTTTTAATAAAAATAGGATTTTTAATATTTTCACAAAATTTATAACATACCTCCACACTTTAAACTACAATAAAAATAATGTAAAATAAAATATCTAATTTGGAGCAACTTATATTGTATAATAGGTGTAGGTATCTTTCGGATTTGGATCTCGCTTAATGATAACAGTTTCTTTTCGAAGAATCATAGTGAACTAAATTTTGAACTAAACTAACTTTTAATAATCAATAACATTACTGATGATACAGTTCATGATAGTAGAACGGGTCGGACTGATCCACGCTCCTTAAGGCTATGTTCGAACGACCAAGTCCACCTGAAGACCTGCACAAGAGTTCAACGGGGAACGGGGAGTCCCCCAGCGAACCCTCCGACAAGCAAGTTAGAGAGAGAAGTGGAGTATAGAGATGGAATAGAGATAGAAAAGCTTAACCTTCTTCTTGTCTTCAACGTCTGCTTATATCCTTTGGTAATCATTTCGTTGTCCCTTCCGACCAGTCACCTTTGCCAAAAGTCTATGTTGTAGCTTACCTTGTTCAGGGTGAGGAAGTGCTGTCCCGACGGAGAGGTGTTGTCGTAATAAATGCTGTGAGGGGCTGCATTAATGGCGATGTGCAGTGGCAATAACTTTTCAGATCTCTGTCTGCTGATGTGGCTCGCCTTTTACCTGTCACGTGTCTGAATATCATTGGTCCTTCATGTCATGTTGACTTCCAACCGTGCTGGGCCTTATCAGTTGGGTTATGTATTGGGCCCTAAGTGGTAGGCTTGGATTGTTCATAATGGGTTATGGCCTTTATGGGCCTACCCACGTCAGTAGTCCCCCATTCCCAAGTGCAGCTTTAGTCCAACGAAGGGTATAATGAGGAAGGTAGGGATTGAAGGTCGAGTGAAAGGAACGACCGACCAAAAGTGGCCAAGTGGAGGGACCGACTGTGAGGAGGGCTGACCGCAAAGGGTAGCCGAATAGAGAGACCGACCATGAGGAGGGCCGACCGCGAAAGGTAATCGAGTGGAGGGACCGACCATGAGGAGGGCCGACCACGAAGGGTAGCCGAGTGGAGGAACCGACCATGAAGAGGGCTGACCACAAAGGGTAACCGAGTGGAGGAACCGACCATAAGGAAGGCCGACCACGAAGGGTGAGGTGGCGGGGTGCGGGGCTCGAGAGGCGGTGGGTCACGTGATGACTTTAAGTGGAAAAGACAGGGTAGGGGAAGGGGGCAGTGAATCTTAGTCGTACATGTGGCAGCATCTCATGGTGGGGAGGTTAGGCGTTGGGCCAGAAGTGAAACAATAGGTCATAATGGGTGTTGAAAAGACAGTTTT